GGTTCCACGAGAATGAGAGAAGGGACTACTTGCTTTCAAGATAAAAAGAGAAAGACAATGCGTGTGTGTACATATATGTCATGTATAAAAGAGAAAGAAAGAGATAGAAAGAGTTTTTGTCTAAGTATGTATTTGCATAAGAGATAGAAAGAGATAAAGATAGATTAAGTTTGTGCATGAGAAAAGAAAAAAAGAATATGTTTATGTATGAGAGAAATAGTGTATATGTGTGTGTGTGTGTGTTAAAGAGGAAGTGAGAGAAAGAGGAAAAATATAGAGTCACACAAACAGAAAAGATTTCCCTCAAGGTTTAAAAAGGAAGACTTTTTCGTCAAACTTTGGAGACTTTTTTCACATCTTCATTCTAAGTAGTATAGGTATAAATTCAAGAATGAGAGAGAGAGAGAAAGAGAGGGTATGTTATTTCTTGAAAAGTCAACTTAATACTGATCTTATCCTCTCTTTTAAGTTTGATCGAAATTTCATTATCTTCTGTTTAGAGTGGTTTTACTAAATTTTTGTCATATCTAGATAAAAAAGAAATAATATAGAACACTTTGACGGGTTTATTTTCATGTGTTTTATTTTTGTGTTCATTTTAGTATTTGATATATAAATATAATAATATATATAATTATAAAAAAAATTGAAATAATACATACGATATAATATTTTATAAATTATATATTATTTCATCTAAAAATAATATTCTTACTTAAATATTAAATATCTAATAATAAATCAAAATCATAATACTATTAATAATCTCACTAATAAAAAAAAAAAATAAGGAAATTCTCAAATATATCTTTTTACCGATTCTGTAATGTCTATCAATTTTCTAATATTTTCTATGAAAAATATAATATTCCAAAAAAATAAAGAAAGAAAAATTGGATAAGATGTTTTGGCCAACATAGAAAGTATTTTTGGTCCAGCAGCTGTGTTTTCCACTATAAGTTCAATCTTTAGAAAACTAGCCTATCTAACCCCCTCGGTATCTATAGCAAGAAAGAAGAAGAGGAAAACTTTTCAATCCAGTTTTGTTCCTTCTCCATTTCTTTTTTCGTCTCATCATTCCTTTCTCTCTTTCTCTTTCTTTTTCTCTCACGTTCTTTTCTTGGGCAGTCTCGTTACATGCTTTTTATCTTTTCAACTGATATCGTTCCAAAGAATTTTCGCATCGGGGAATCTTCGATCTTTTCAGTCTTGCTTCAATCCAGAGGCAACGTTGTGTGTTCTTTTACAAGTTTGATCGAACGGAAAGATTAATTTTTTTTTCCTCTCTTCCCTATCCTTCTTTATCTCTTTCTTCTCATCACATCTCTACTTCTTCCCTTAACCCTCCCTTCCCCTATCTCTCTCCCATCCCTCGTTCTTTGTTCTTTTTTTCTTTTTCATTTTTATATGAGATTAAATTTTTTTTATTTTGCATAACCTTACACTCCCTACAGTTTTTTTTATAAAAGGTCAAAATTTTCTGACCTCTTTTACTACTTTTTCTTTTGCATGAATCTGTAATTTAATCTTTCTTTTCCATATTTTGATGTTCGATTTAATCGAGTTATTTTTTTATTTTAGTATCCTGGCAAGTGTTTCGTAGATCAGGATCATTCAATCGGTTTTTCAATTTCATTGGGTATTAACTTGTAAAACATTTGTCCCATTTTCTTTAGAGTACTTTTTTTTTTATTTTTTTTTTATTTTTGTTTTTATCTTTCTTAACACATATAAATGCGATAAATATTCCTATTACTATGCACATCTTCTCGTGTTTTCTCATTAAATTATTATTTATGACGGAAGAGGGTGGAAAACATTTCAGAAATATAATACTATATGGCTTATCTTCGGTTTCGTACGATGAAAAATCACTCGTAACACGCGAAAGTATCGTGAGCGTAATATTTTTTTTTCTTTTTGTTTTTTTCATATATATATTTTCTACGTTTTTTACTTTGTTTTTCAAACGTATAATTATCTACATATATTTTTTCGATAGATTTTGTTAAAGATTATTTTTTCATTATTTTGTTTTTTATAAATCATTGGACATATAATTACGCAAATATTCGTTTTAAATTCAACGTAGAAGAGTGTTGTTGATCTTTATTATTTTTTTATAAATATAAATCCTCGAGTATTAATTTAAAATTAAATTACAAAAAAGAAACGTAAAACTTGATCCTTCTTTCTATAGATCATCGTGCAAATAAAAATACTTGAATATTAGTTTTAAATTAAATAAAAAAAATAAAGTAAATCTTAATCATTGTTTGTATAGATCATCGTGCAAATAAAAATGCTATTGTATTATATTAACACCACTACTCTAAATTCGATCTATAAAAATAAATCTCTTGATCATTCTTTCTGTAAATAATCGTGCAAATAAAAATACTTGAATATTAATTTCAAATTAAATTAAAAAAATAATGTAAATTTTAATCATTGTTTCTATAGATCATCGTACAAATAAAAATAATATTGCACATACTATATTAACATTACTATATTAAATTCGAACTATGAAAATGAATATTAAATTTTCTTTATATAGATCTATCAGGTACACCAATAGATGTGTTAATTGAAGCTTTGAAATTCGATCCAAAAGAAAAATATTGATCTTTTGTCTATTTATCTCTCTCTCACTCTCTCTCTCTCTCTCTCTCTTATCTCATTGAATTCAGTAGACCGGGATTAATCGTAGATGCACGTGGAGATCCAAGCAGAGATCCATTATCTCTCGACGATGCACGAATCAATCGGTTACCAATCGATTGGATAATTCGACTCGGCCTGCCAACAAGGAACCTTGAACATTAGGCATCAACGTCTGGTGCACTTGAACGCATCGACAAATTCGACGAATTTATTTCCCCTCAACGATCGTGACTAATTTCTAGTTTTTCTTATTCTTTCTATCCCTTCTTCTTTTAACTAATTTTTGTTATTTCTTTTTAATTATATTTCTTTAAAATAAATCGTAGAATTCGAGGATCAAGTAGACGGAGTTTTATTGGATTTAAAAATTATTCAATTTAATTTATTCTTAAATGCAATTTATTTTTTTTCTGAACTATATATATATATATATATGTATACGTTATTGTGAAAGATCAAAATTGGAAAATGTCAAATTTCACGTGGTCGCTTGTCGATATATACAATTTCATACACATACAAACAATTCGTAATATATATATATATATATAAATATTGCGAAGTAATAATTATTTATTAAAACGTAATAACATCGTGAAACGTAATAACAAATATATCTTACACAATTATGAGTTAAAATTCGTCGAAAGTTACTTTGAAATATGTCGGAAATAGGATTGGTGCACTTTGGATATACGTCTCGTGCTACAAGTATCACATACATTAGAATACATGCACACACACAAACATGGTCACACACACACACACATATATATATAAAGAGGAACATAGGTAGGTTTGGAAACAGCAGCCGAGTACTAAGTAATTTTGCTGTCGGCGGTACCGAAGAGCGAGGATACGTAGAGACAAATATCCAAAGTTGTGAGCGGTTCGTTCTACTCTTGTAGCATTATGGCTACCACGAATCCCCCTTCAGCCCTTACCCCTCACCCACTAACCCTCAACACCCACCCTACCTCTCGCAATGCCTCATATTCCATCTAGATTGCACCCAAATCATCTTACACGAATGAAACACATTCGTTCTATTGTTTTTCTCACTTTACACACAAAGAAAGAGAGAGAGAGAGAAAGAGAGAGAGAGAGAAAACAACGAGTTTGTTCTAATGAAATTCATGTGTCGACCAATTTCATTCGTATTACTCGTAAAACTACATTTCAATGAAAATTAATTTCAATTTTAAAAAGTATTTTTATCATATATGTATATGTACATATGTATATAGTATCGTACGTTTATAAATTAAAAATTGGAAAAAAGTAATAATTAATCGAGTATGGAGTAATGTTTTTTATTTATTATAAATGTTTTTATTGTATATAGTTGTCGTAAAAAAAAAACATCTTTTCAGTTAATTTAAAAAAACTTATCAAGGGTAATATATTACAAGTAATTATATTTATTTAATAAAAAGTCCAATTGTGTGTTTCAATTTTATGAAGCATTTCGAATACATTTTCTATTTTGTAAATGATTTTGAAACGTTATCGTAAACGTACTTTTATTAATTAAACATTTGGAAGAAAATAATAAAGATTTTAGTAGTAAGGAATAATGTTTTATTCAATAAACAAACAAACAATCAAGAAAAATAGAAATTCATTTATACGCGTGCGCGTGTATGTGTGAGTGTGTTTGTATGTTGAATTCTGATTACTAATATCGAATAAATTTTCTAATACGTAAAGAAAAAAAGAAGAAAAAATAATGTAGAAACATAATTCTTATTCTTACGGTATATATAATATACATACATGTAGATAGAAAAATAACGTAATAAAAAAATAATATTTCCGATAATACGTATTCATCATTATTTGTTTCTAATTTGTAAAAGACAGTTCGTGTTTCTTCGTATACGAAGTACGTCTTGTACCCTATCTAAGAAATGTTTTTATCAATATGAATAGAGGTGAGGATGATAAAATCAGTCTTGATTCGAACGTCGTAACGTAAACATCGTTAGTATCGTGTGTTATACATATTTTTCATTTATCTTCGTATCAAATGGATAACTTTTAAATATTTATTCTAAGAATATAATTTATATAACACATTAACACGTAGATTAACAGTTTTTTTTTCTTCGATTATTATAAACATCTTTTTTATTCGATTATACTAAAGTACGTATTGATAAAAATTATTTAATTAATTATATCGTGTATTATTAATAAAAATTAATTTTATTGTTTCTTCTTTTTTTTTTCTTCTTCTTCTATATTCTTATACGCACACATATATAACGATTGAACACATTTGTGTTGCTACAAATTAATGAGTATTTTTTTTGTTAATTGGATTGTTTCAGATCAGATGAGCGATATTTGTAAGAAATATTTCATGCGAGATCTCTACAGAAAAATAGACGGTGCAGTATTAACCTCTAAACACGAACGTGAGCTCGATTGTGCAATCACCTTTCAAACGCACAGCATTCTTCAACGTTTCATGCTACGATTTGATCAACTTCAACTTGATTGTAATGATCATCTTTACATCTACGATGGTGCACACGCGGTTGGTAGTTATAAGGTAAATATTTTGTTTTATATAATTATTTGTTATTATTGTTATTATTATTTTAAATGGGCCTTTCTAATTATTATTTACGATATTCGTTGAATTTAATGAATAATTTATACAACCTAAATTAGTCATGAATATTACATTATTTTATATTACAACAATAGCATATATTTAACGAATACACATATATCATTTTTAATTATTTATTAATAATTATTAACAAATATTATTAAAATATTAGATACAAAAATAATCATAGATTTTTACAATCGAGCATTACAGAAGTCTATCTTGATCACCTTGACATAAGAATAAAAATTAGGTCAAGGTAGAATGATAATTCGGATGACTAAAAAATCATGCTAAACTTAGATTTATGTTATATGAAAAATAATTTACTTTCATTTTCACATAATCTTTCCTTCGATCAAAAAATCAACATAATTTATTATTTATTGTATAAATATATTTGAAATAATATTTTCGATGAACACACACACACACGTGTCTGTGTGTATGAGTGTGCGTGTGTTACATGTAAATAATTTACTTTCGCTTCTGAATGATCTTTCCTTCGATCAAAATCAATATTTATATTATATATATATATTGAATAATATTTTCGACGAACACGTATGTGTATGCGTGTGGGTTGTGGGTATTTATCAAAAATATTTTTTTTTGGGCTCATCAGTAGAGAACCTCGATCAAGGAAGGTATAGAATTTTTGCGATACTCGTGATGATTAATGAGCAACGAAGCATCGTCATATTTTTTTGATTTCGATCGATGTGTTGTTCCCTAGACACGTAATTACCGTAATCGATCAAAAACAGCCCCTAACTCTCTCTTTCTCTCTTTCTTTTTTTCTCTCTTTGTTTTTCTCTCGCATACACTAATTACAGAAAGGAAAACGTCGTTATTATTATTATTTTTTTTTCTATTCTCATTATTATTCTTTACATATATTTGTTTCCTTATTATTTTTTTTCAGTCTTATGAATTAAATTCTTTTCGATTTGTTTCTCTCTCGATTTATATTTATAAATAAATTTCCTATTCTTTTTTCCTTTTTTTTCTTTTTTTTTTAATCAGAGACGACTTTAATGTTGCAAGTTAAAGATTAATATTCAATGTATTTCTTATTTTTTATTTATTTTTTTTACATTTTATGCTATATATTAGGTATGAAAAAAATATCCATTAATATATACGGATTATATATAAAAATAACGGATTTTTTAAATTAAAATTTATAAATAATGGATTACTTTTATTAAAACTTAAAAATAATGGATTTCTTTTTTCCAAATTATAATATTTATTTATTAATAAATATTAAGCAAATGGTAACGATAAATAAAATGTAGTAATGGTAATGGTAAAAGGTATTACGTAATTTATCGTTGTTAGTTAAAAGAGAAAGAGTGAGAGAGATGGGGTGGGGAGGTGGTTAGAGTGGGAGAGGTTAAACTAGAGAAAGAAGAATGGATAGGACGAAGAATTACCCTTCGTATGGCCCAACGAGATTATATTTTAATGTATTCCAACATTATAAATTCCAAGCATGGTTTGGACCGGACAAGGATGGTAGAAACTTGCTCCATTAATCAAGATTCGTTTCTTAACGTTGAAGAGAAAGAACGAGGAGTACGAGATAAAGAAAGACAGATAGTTAAAAAGAAAAGGACAGAGAGAGAGAGAGAGAGAGAGAGAAAAAGATAGTTTACTTTTTGTCCGACATTTTTCCACTCAGGTAGCATCACCGAGTCGTTGTTACTTTTTTTTCTTTTTTTTTTTTTATAGAACTTTTTATATTATTTTTAATTTAAACGTTAAAGCCAAGCCAAAAATTAATATTCGCTTCGTTTGAATATTTATTTTTTAATTTTTCTTTTTTTTTTTCTTTTATTAACTTGTAAATTTTTCTTTCTAATTCGTTATTGTTATAGTTTCATTTCGTATTACGTATTATTATTGTGATTTAAAATTGCATGCGAGTGAAAAATTGATATTCGATTCGTTCGAATTGTATTATCATTCATACGTGTTTCTTGTTCAATATTTTTTTCGATTTAGTTTCCGAATTTATTTTTGTAATTTTTAGAACCTTTCTTTCCTTTTTTGTTTTTAATTATAAATTCAAAGTCGGATTTAAAAGATGTCTAAATTTTAATTATAATATATAAATATCATACGAAAATATCTATTGAGCGTGAATTTGTTTGAATTATTTACGCATGGTTTATACTTTCAATAATTATTTATTTCACGTATTTAAATTATTATAAAAAATAGTTACTTTAAATTATATTATTCGTTAGTTGCGTTTACGTCTATATATATAAATAAAATTACAATAATAATTTTAATACAAACTGTTTAATATCAATCGCAAAAGTTAGGTAGATATTTGTAAGGAACGATGTAAAAATGTGTAAAAAAAAAAAAAGTAAAACTAGAACGGAAAACGAATGCAATTGCAATTCTCTTTTGTTTCACGTAGTAGTAGGCAGTTAAAGAAAGAAAAAAAATAAAAGGAAAAAAGAATAAAACAACAAATAAACTTTCTGCGGTGTACAATTAGCGGAATATCCGAGCTGGTTAAATTACTCTTCCGTTTTTCTGGCACATATAATTCTCTTCATGAGTTGCTGGTTTTACGTTAACACGAATACAACAATCTACGTTTATAAATTTATAAATGCACATGCATAATATACATCTATATATATACATATACATTTATATACGACGTGTACATTTTATATAGATGTTTTTCTACCTATCTCTGTCATTTATATAACAAAAAAATAAAATAAAAAGAAACAAAGTAAGAGAGAGAGAGAGAGAGAGAGAGAGAAAGAGAGAAAGTGTAGACATACGGTACAGCACGGAGAGCAATGTAATTTTGCATAATGGCGGTTTAACTTTAATCTTTTTTATGGTCTACTTAATGGCCCGTTAAGCCTCCTGGTTCGTCCTTATTTTTCTCTTTTTCTCTCTGTGAACATGCCAAAAAACCTTTCCACTTCTCGGCCCTTTTCGTTCCTTCATGTTGTCTTTTTTTTCCTCTCTCTTTCTATATTTCTCTTTCTCTTGTACACACATATACCCCCTCACATACATATACACATACACGCACATATATATACTCGTAAAATTGTAGATAGTTTAAGAGGTAAAAAAAAAAGAAATTTATTGGTCTAGTATTATTCGATTTTTCTTTTTTTCCTTTTTTCTTTTTGTAAAAGGTGAAAAGTTTTCATAGGGATGAAACGTTTGGTTGGGGAAAACCACATACGAGAAAGAGAGAGAAAGAGAAAGAGAGGTAGAGAAATAAAGAAAGAAAGTAATATAGGCCAGGTAGGTGTGGGGGAACGGGGAATGAGGAAGGGGGAGAAGTAAAACTCATAGCCGCAATCAAATTCACGTGCTCGAGTTGGAACTGTGTAACTTGATCGATACCGTTGGAGAAATTGACTCATCGGCTTTTGGATCCAGGAATGGCCCAGGCTTTGCCTCTCCCCCCTCCTCCTCTCCCCTCCCCTCCCCTCTATCCTTCCCCCCCACGAGTGCCGGACAATCCATACTAGTCGATCGAGATTAATTACAGCATTCCTGCACTAGATGAAATTCGAGAGTGATAGAGAAAGAGGATAAAAGAGATGAAGTGATTACGTTCGTTATATGTTACAGGACTTGCAATTAATTCATTTGTCTTTCTCTTTCTCTCTTTATCTCTCTCTCTCTCTTTCTCTCTCTCTCTCTCTCTCTCTTTAAATCTCTTTAAATCTTTAACTCTTAATTACTTTTTTCTTTTTATTTTTTTTTTCATCCATATCATCGTCAAAGATCTAGAATGATAAAGAACTTGATGCATTAATCGTTGCTATTGAATTTTTTTAATTATTTGTTCGAATTAATTCGAGAAAAGGGGAAAAAAATTTTTTTTTTAGGATATTTTTTTATTTCTATTTTCTTCTTTTCTTATACTTTTTCTTTTTCTTTTTAATCGTTTTATTTTAGATTTAAATAGAATAGGTGAGAGAGAGAGAGAGAGAGAGAGAGAGAGAGAGAAAGAGTAAGAGTTAAACCTAATTGCAATAATTTCTTAGAATTAATTAGAAAAAGATTTTACAGATATTTTTCATTTAGTGTCCTTTTTTCTCATAGTTACTTTTTAATCTTTTTATTTTAATTTAGTTTTTTAGAAAGGAAAGAGAGAAAATAATTGTTTTTCGTACTTATAATTAAAATTGTATTGTTTTGCATTTTCTTATTTCAAATATTTTACGCGTCCGTTGTATTATTGTTATTACTAGAAGTTAGTTTTAAAAAAGAGAGAGAGAGAAAGAGAGTCTTAAACTTTATAACAATAATTAGAAACGGTTTAATAATTTTCTACACATTACAATTGTAATTACAATAATAACATTTCTCTCAATGTTTTTAATATTATTTATTAAACTTATTTTTTTCTTTTTTATTAATATTTCACAAGTTCATCATTGGATTTATTTATACCTTTAAATTAATAATTTAAATATTCTATACACAGAAAAATATTTTATTACTGTTATTATTACTATTATTATTTCGAAGAAAAGAGAAAAAAATACGAGTGGTAAAGGGTTTTAAGGAGGCGTGGTAAAGATCTTAAAGGGGGAGGAGGGAGAGAAATTACACGAAGAAATTCGATCGAGCAAGTTGTTTGGATGCTGCTGCAGCCGCTGCCGCTGCTGTAGTATGAAAAAAAGAAAAAAGAGATAAGAAACAGAGACAGCTTGAGTAAAAGAAAAAGAGAGAGTGGAAGAAAGACAGGGATAGAATATTGTCCACAACTTTCTTCCTGTCTTTCTTCTTCGTCATTCCACTTGCCTGCGAGAACGTTTCACCAACTTCTTGAATTAAACTTCACCGTAGAAGTTTCTCAAAGGATATATAGTAGTCTAAATATATGAATTTATATATATTATATATATATATGTGTGTGTGTGTTCGTG